AGTTTGGACCTATCATCATCCAGCTAAATAAAACTGCTGGTTGTGGTGGTCCTCTCCCGGCTCGCCGCTTCCCCGGGGTCCGGGGTGGCGCGGCTTATAGCGCACGCTGCGCCTTCCCTGTAATTCGCAACTCGTAGAGTAAGAATTTGGGAAGCGTAGCGGAGCAGAAGTTTCCACTAATAGCACGGTGGTGTGTTCTGCGTCCGGGAGTTTAGAAAAAAACTCAGCGCGTCGCCATCGTAACCAAAATCGACGCGGTCTGGACCGACGTTTCAATTGGGGTATTCCTCAGGTGGGAAATATTCTACGTACGCTAACTCGCCGCTGGTGCCGCGCGCCGCGCGTGGGACCCCCCCTGGGGGCTTTCGAAACGAATCGAAACACCGTTTTCGCGCGTCAGCGCGCGCGTCTCGGCCAGAAGATTGGTTCGTAGGGTGTACCAAACCCATGCGGACCCGGGCGCGGCGGGTCTGCGCCGTCGGGCGACGTGAGTCGCGCGCGATCGCGGCCGAGGTCGTCTCGGTGAAACGAGCGGAGCCGGCGCGCCGCGCGCGCGAACAGATGAACGAAACTCGTAACCTCAACGATCGTTCGTCGAGCGCGAGCGGCTACGATGATGTGTGGTGTTCGTTCCGGGCTCTGCGGGGCGAGTTAGGCGGTGCCCGTGGGGCTCGACACCCGCGCCTTCGTGCGTGGCCGTCAGCGGTCTTCAAACCGCAGGCGTGCAGGCGCCGCAGCGCACGCACGACATCAAACAACACGCACGATGTGACCTCGTACATCAAGTCTAACAACACGTCCGTGCACGCACGGGACGACGTCGCCTCGCGCCCGGCCGGGGCCGCAGCGCATCGCAACCGTCACTTTTGCCCTCGAAAGTCACGTTGAACGTCAACTTCGAGCCGCTCCTGGATTAACTCCTGGATGCCGCTGGTTCGACGCGAGGGGAGCTTTCGGGCGCGCGACGGAGGCGCGGCGGAGGCCTCCCTGGCCCAGTCCCCGCACCTCCGCCCAATATGGCATATTTTCCCGCATCTAACTGTAGCCCTAGGCCTCCTCCCCGTGCAAAACGAGACGGACAGTCATTGCGTGCGCGAAGCTTTAGCTGTGGTTATCATAATTTGAGTTGCCATAGCGCACGCTGCGCCTTCCCTGTAATTCGCAACTCGTAGTGTAAGAATTTTGGAAGCGTAGCGGAGCCGAAGTAACTTAGTTTCCACTAATAGCACGGTGGTGTGTCTGCGTCCGGGAGTTTAGTAAAAAATTCAGCACTCCGCCATCGAAACCAAAATCGACGCGGTCTGGACCGACGTTTCAATTGGGGTATTCCCCAGGTCAATATCCGCGCCAACTCGACGCTGGTGCCGCGCGCCGCGCGTGGGACCCCCCTGGGGCTTTCGAGACGAATCGAAACACCGTTTTCGCGCGTCAGTGCGCGCATCTCGGCCAGAAAATTGGTGCGTAGGGTGTATCAAACCCATGCGGACCCGGGCGCGGCGGGTCTGCGCCGTCGGACGATGTGAGTCGCGCGCGTCCGCCCAATATGGCATATTTTCCCGCATATAACTCCTCCTCCCCGTGTAAAACGAGACGGACAGTTATTGCGTGCGCGAAGCTTTAGCTGTGGTTATCATCATCTTCTATACTATATAGTATATAAAATATCTTTATACTGTTTTTTAAAATGCAGTATGAAAAATATGAATGAAAACCTTCGTTTTTGTACATATCGGGCTTTTAATCATCATTTTTACATATACGATAAATTTCTACCATTCTGGGAAAATTCAATTTAAACTTCAACAATTTAAACGAGCGTCAGCGAGTTACCGAGGAGCGTAGCGACGAGGAAAAACAGGTACAGTTGTTCAGGGCGTCGTTTTAAGTAGCGTCAGCGGAGTACCTATTTTTTTTGTCTGAAATTGGGCCCACAATGGCACTTGGCACAACTCGCTGACTTGGTCTGCAAAGTAGCATAATTAGGCGGATGCCCCGCGGCCAGGGATAAGCGCACCGGTGTCTGTTACGTTGAGTGCCATACGCAGGCGGTGCGCGAAAAGTCCTGATTGCCAGGCCAGGCCGAGCTCGGCGGGGAGTGCTTAGGGGAACGGTTTGGGGCGGAGTCGGTAGGGACGTCCCCGCTTCAGGCACCGCAGTACACTCTCAAAAATGCGGATCTGAGGCAGGCGTGACATTCGCCTCTGCAGAATAACCATCCAGAGTCTGTTCAAGTGATCCAAGTCGGGTATTGGAATTCAGTCGCTCCCTTTCCAAGTCAATGACTCTCTGTTGCAAGTTCCTGAATGCCTCGACCAGCAACGGTCCGACGGCATCTATCTGCAACGAGCGCATTCCGCTGTCATTTTCCCGAACAATTTCGGGAAACACAGCCTCAACATCCTGAGCAATGAATCCAAAGTGCGTGTCGTTGTCGAACCTTGCTTCATCGCGCCAGCGGAAACTGACACCCCTCAGTTCAAGTAGCCGATCAGCCCTGTTTTCCAATGATGTGACATTGGTTTTGAAGCGCAAATCGGATGTTGTTGAAAAACTAGTAGCAGAAATCGCTCCACTGCTTGTGACACTAGCAGCATGAAGTGAGCTTGCAGCTGTGATTGCGGCTGTGCTCTCAATGCCAGCAGCAAATAAAGTGGCTGTGCCAGTAACTGCGGCGGAGCTGTGGATGCCAGCACCGTATATCGTCGTCGCGGCCGTCACCGCGGCAGTGCTTTCCATGCCGGCTGCGTACAGCGTCGTCGTCCCCGTGATGGCCTGGGCGCTGCTCACGCCGGCGACGGTCAGCGTGCCCGACGAAGCGGTGAGCGACCCCGCACTCACGGTCAGGGACGCCGACGATGCTACGCCAGCCGCATGCACCGCCGTCGCGGCCGTCACCGCGGCGGAGCTGTGGATGCCGGCACCGTAGATCGTCGTCGCGGCCGTCACCGCGGCAGAGCTGTGGACGCCTGCACCGTAGATCGTCGTCGCGGCCGTCACCGCGGCAGTGCTTTCCATGCCGGCTGCGTACAGCGTCGTCGTCCCCGTGATGGCCTGGGCGCTGCTCACGCCGGCGACGGTCAGCGTGCCCGACGAAGCGGTGAGCGACCCCGCACTCACGGTCAGGGACGCCGACGATGCTACGCCAGCCGCATGCACCGCCGTCGCGGCCGTCACCGCGGCGGAGCTGTGGATGCCAGCACCGTAGATCGTCGTCGCGGCCGTCACCGCGGCAGTGCTTTCCATGCCCGCTGCGTACAGCGTCGTCGTCCCCGTGATGGCCTGGGCGCTGCTCACGCCGGCGACGGTCAGCGTGCCCGACGAAGCGGTGAGCGACCCCGCACTCACGGTCAGGGACGCCGACGATGCTACGCCAGCCGCATGCACCGCCGTCGCGGCCGTCACCGCGGCGGAGCTGTGGATGCCGGCACCGTAGATCGTCGTCGCGGCCGTCACCGCGGCAGAGCTGTGGACGCCTGCACCGTAGATCGTCGTCGCGGCCGTCACCGCGGCAGTGCTTTCCATGCCCGCTGCGTACAGCGTCGTCGTCCCCGTGATGGCCTGGGCGCTGCTCACGCCGGCGACGGTCAGCGTACCCGACGAAGCGGTGAGCGACCCCGCACTCACGGTCAGGGACGCCGACGATGCTACGCCAGCCGCATGCACCGCCGTCGCGGCCGTCACCGCGGCGGAGCTGTGGATGCCGGCACCGTAGATCGTCGTCGCGGCCGTCACCGCGGCGGAGCTGTGGATGCCAGCACCGTAGATCGTCGTCGCGGCCGTCACCGCGGCAGTGCTTTCCATGCCGGCCGCGTACAGTGTCGTCGTCCCCGTGATGGCCTGGGCGCTGCTCACGCCGGCGACTGTGAGTGTCCCACTAGATGCTGTTATTGACCCGCTCGTCACGGTGAGTGACGTAGTCGATGTTAAACCGGTCGCTGAAAACGTAGCCGTGGTGGTGATTGCACCTGCCGAGTAGATGCCAGCGACTGTCAACGTGCCAGCGGAGGCTGTGATAGAGCCTGTGAGGACAGTGAGCGAGGCAGTCGAGGCCAACCCAGCAGCTGTAAATGTGGTCGTGGTAGTTATTGCGCCTGCTGAATAGATACCAGAGACGGTCAGAGTTCCGGCAGAGGCGGTGATAGATCCGGAAGTAAGAGTCAGGGATCCAGCTGAGGTGATACCGACATTTGAGACGGTGAGTCCTCCAGCGGTGATAGTAGCGCCGCCAGCATTGACGAGAAGACCCCCAGCTTTCAGGGTGGTCGTGCCTGTAACGCTGAGTCCACCGCGCTTTATCATAGTGTGACCTTGGCCTGTAACGGCAAATACTTCTCGAGGTAAGGGACCATCATCTATGGTGATGCGAAATAGGTCGAACGAATCCGACATGTTGCGATCTGCACCAACTTCGAGCACCGCGCCTGCAAAAGCGTCCTGTGTCGCACGGATCTCCATAATATTTGAGTCGCCATAGCCGCTAATGTTTGAGTAGAAGAAGTAGCTACCGTTGAAAGCGGATACGTCTCCCCAAAGATCAGTGTTCCCGACTACCTTCAGGCCACCCTCATCCACTGTTGTTCCACCTGCGGTAACCCGAAGCCCGCCGGTGGTTATCGTTGCTCCTCCATCGACCACACTGAGCCCTGAGTGGAGGAAGAGCTCCCCCGTTAAAACTTGCACATCGCCAATGGCGACTGTGACATCACCATCGCCTTCTATAGTGAGCATGGTTGTATCAGCACCACCAGAAACAATTTCGAGAAAATTGAACGCGTCGGTGGGGTTGGCGTCGGCATCAAGTTTTAGAATTGTGTTTTCAAAGGAACCTTCTGTTGCATAAAGTAGAAGGATGTCGACATCATCTTTTGACGAAGCCGTGACACTACTTCCACATGCAACACCCTCGAAATTGGTGTAACAGCTACAAGAGCCCGTTGTAAAATCGCATGTGCCGCGTCCACTACAGAACTGGTATTCGTAAATATCGCTGTTTACGACATCTTCAATTTGGCAGAGCGCCGCGGCATCTGGCCAGGCCATAACATTGGACGCGTCGCAGGTGAACGACGATAGTGGAGGATTACCCTCATGGTGGAAAACGTTGTTTTGCATTGGAATCGCTGGCCATGCGAGGAATTGGATGTTGTATGTTGCACCCCAGGCTGCATTGAGATCGCCACGGCGACACGTGACCTGTTCCACGTTGTCAAGAGATTCCCAGGCCACCTCACAGGCAGCATCGTCAAATAATGTAGCGTTAGCATCGAATTCAAAACTGAAACCATCAAACGTCATCACGAACGTGCCGTTTAAACCGGCGCCCACGGCTGTTGCATTTGTCGTCACATTTATCTCACGGTAGAATACTGCGCTTGTCTTTAGCGGGTCAAAACCTTTTGGGCACATGCGCGTCCCGCACTCTGGCCCCATCGTCCCCCAGTCACAGATGCACATCATAAGAAATTCAGCCTCCCAATTTTTGTAAACAGGACCAAAACCATCCCCAGAATACACTTGTCCAGCGGTCTGATCTGGTCCATAGTCAAGCGCAGCGTTATACATTGTGATGCATTTTCCATAATTGTTACAGGCTTGTGCACATTCAACTACATAAAGGTGGTTCGAAGCAGATTGTCTTGGGGCGTATGGTGGGAAGTAAACAACCCTTTTAACGGGTGGGAAGGAAAACATGGACGCTGGAAAAGCGCACGGCGCTGACAAGCTTCCCCAGTGTAACCAGTGGGGCAGTCGCAACTTCCCTGCGTTGGAACGGTGCAACCAAACATTCAGTAAAATATCAATGATCACACCGGTGTCTGCGTCATTGCGATTGCATACACCAAGATTGGCACATTCCATATTGCTGTGTGCTTTACCGCGTGCGCTGGCCTTGTCGACCCAGGCTGTTGCGTTCGGACAGAGACCTACATGGATCGCATCTCTGCGAGAATAGATATGAACAGAGCAAAGCTGGCGCGGCCCATCCCACGACCGGAGCAATCGGCGTTATAAGACCAACTGTCATCACACTGACACACATTCTCAGACGTGCATTCCCCGTGCCCACTACATTGGTTTGGACATGCTGGCGTCGCTGGGCGCAGAAGAGATAACACCAAAAGCAATTTGATTGTAACCGCAGGGCGTGAAACCACGTGCGCTCCGGTGAATGGTTCCAGTTGCATATCACTTAAGTAAGTCCATCTAAACGCTAGCCAGCGGACCGAGAGATACTAGATATGGCGGCCTACAGTGGTGGCTCCAACTAGTTTAGCCAAGGGAAGGCAAGGTAAACACCCTCCACAAGGGGCTGGGCTCAAGTGAACTGGGTAGTGCCACGCATGAAGGCCGACGGACCGCGCTTGGATGGCGCAGCTAGGGTGATAGAGAGGTCTCTACCCTCCTGAGAAGAGGAGGAGAGCCTCCTCACTGGGTAAGGCCAGCTTGAGTGTGATCATCATGAGTCATCCTCCTCAGCCTGCTGAGGAAGGTTGCGTGTGATCATCATCCTCCTCAGCTTCCTGAGCAGGAAAGCCACCATTTTCCCCCAAGGTTGAGTATGATCATCATAGGGAGAAATGCCCCAAACTAGGGTAATCAGGAACGTTGATGTCAACGTTACGGGGAAGTGCAGTGTCATCTCCATCATGTAGTGTGACGTCGCGATAGAGAGGGAGCAGGGTAGTGTAAATTATGGGGATGATGGGGGGTCACGAAGCTATGGGGATGATGGGGGGTCACGAAGCTACTCAATTCAGATAGATCCCTTTCAAAGTCCACTATACTGACTACGAGGAATTCCCTTTTTAGGTTCAGCCCCGCAACTCTAGTCGGTCAGCCCCGGCCCCCTCGGCCAGCCCCCGCCTCCCCCTAGCAAAAAAAAAGGACTGCTACCCTTCAGCACGATTTCCTTGGATGGGGGGGGGGGTGACCCTCGGCTCCGGTGAAAGAAGCAACTTAAAGTGCACAAACGAGCCGTCTTGAGCGGACCAATGTCGTCGGACCTAGAGTACTGGAGCGAATCGTACACTGGTGCTCGCTGGGGAAATTCGGAGTGCAGCTGCGTTTTTAGGTGCGGTCGACGAGCTAGCGGCAATAGTGTTGTTGATAAACGGGACGGTCGGTGACGAGCGGGTGAATCTAGCATTCGCGGCGTGATTCAAATTATCATTCGAATCTTATGTGGATCAGGTGTCAGAATGCGATGCAAAGTTGTGCCGAGCACAGTCAATAAGGAGGTCATACTGCTTGGAGGTGCGGCTTCTAAGGGACAAGGCCATAAAAAGAACCTACGAACAGAAGCTCAAAGGGCTCGATACGCGATGTACAGAGATCAGACATGATATTGAGTGCACGCGCGGGAGCAGTAATCGGCAAGAACTGCTTGGGGCGCCGCCCGCTCACAGTGATTTCAAGGGCAATGCTAACTACCTTGACGATGCTGGCAAGATCCAGGACCAGACGCAGGATGCACTCTCACGAACAATGCATCTCGTAGAGGCTTCCAGTGAAGTGGGCCACTCCGCACTCAATGAGTTATTGTTGCTGTGTTAGCGTTTTGTATATTTTGCGTGCCAATGATTTCCATACAGGCTAGAGCGCCAGCAGGAACAGGCCAGGGATATAACAACAGATGTCATGATCATTGAAGATAACCTCACTCGCGCCGATAAACTCATCCGAAACTTCACCAAGCGCATGATGACAGACAAGCTCATCGTGTGCTTTGCGTTTGTAAACATGTGTGGCTTGATCGGGGTGAGTCCACAGGAAACACTTCCGTGCTTTTAAAACCTCACCACATGTGCCCATCGCAGATTGTCGTCTACTGCGTTGTCACTGGCAGGGGACTCGGCACGGAGGGCCAAAAGGAAGACCGGCCTGACGAAAGACGCTTGGGTCCCATCTGAAAGTCATCTTGCTTTTAGATACCCAAGTCTCCCCAAATGCTATCCTCACAGAAAAAAGAAAACAGATCGTAGAAGATGGCGCTAACCGGTGGAACTGGGCTTGCACTCTTGAAAAGTTTGAATATGGGTGACGCCTACTAGACCCGGGAGATCGAAAGGGGCACTTCTTCATCATACCCCTAGTTGACACTAGGAAATACTGTGCAATTTCAATATATCGAGCGTGTGGCGTCTCTTGAGCGCGCATGAGTACGAAGACGCGCTTGAGGACGGTCTGTGACCATCACCCTTGGATGTCGACTGCCTCAAACACCGCCTCCGGCTCTTCGCTCGGCTTGCAACCGTCCCCAACTGTGCCTCGCGCCCCCCCGGGGCCCCACATCGGTATGCTGCTCTACTACGCCCAGCCCGGCGCGCACTGGCACGGCACCGCCGGCGCGCCGCCGGCGTGGCCTCTGTGGTCGCTGGTGGAGCCCTGCCCTCCGCGGCCGCGGGGCCCGTGTCACACGTGCAGCCGTCGGCCGCGCGCGCAAGAACGGCAAGGCGCAAGCCGACTGGCCCACGCGGCGCTACCACAACTTGAAGAAATGCTGGAATAATCTCAAACGCGAATGGAGTGCCGCGGGCTTGCTATTCCGAGGCCATCCGCCGAAGCGCCTCTTTTGAAGTTTAAGTGACCTTGCCACTGTTTTCGTCCACCCCAAACTCCCCAAAAATGCCAAAGGACTGTAAGGCCCTTCAGCTTAATACTTAGGTCTGTCGGCTCTCGCCTAGTAGGGTCACTAGCGCGTAGACAGAACCAGTATAAGGCAGACTTAGCATAGCCAGCATAGGCCAGTATGAGCGTCCCAGCATAGGGAGGATAGCATAGTCCCGAGTCCGGGTAGCATAACCGCAAAACCTATTTGTGATCCTCCCTGAACATGACACTACGGCACACAGCATCTAGGGCAGATGAAGGAGTGACTGCCAAGCAGGCACAGAGAGCATGGCGCTTTTCTGTGTCTG